TTGTTGAACTTGATGACTCACTGTTTTGGGGTCCCAAAAAAAGTTGTGTAGCTGTCTAAACTAAACCTTGATGCAAGGGATATATGCATTTAAATATTTTTGAAATTAGATATGTAAGATATAAAATTAATTATTGAAGGTGATTTGTAAATAAGAATGGGTGAGGACAATTTTTTTAATAAATTTTATTATATATTGATGATATTTTCTGGCCAGCAATAATATAATGATACTGATGGATGGTATATTATCGATGGTGATGTGTCCCAATTAGTTTATGTATACAGGCACGCAATGGAACATCTCTAAAACAATTAATTAAATTATAATTATTTGGTAATTCCTCTTATTTTCACCTTTAATTTTCTTTTATGATCATGTTAGAATGTACTGCCAAACTTCTTCCCAAGTGATGATTGGCATTCTATTATGTTGAATTTTGTTTGATTAGTGTTCTAAATACTTTAACTGTGGCAATGATAAGGTCTAATACTACCAGTGTTAACAAATCATTGATTATTATTAATTAACTAATGAGAATAATTTTTTTTTGGGAATTAGAGAATCACTAATGTTCTTAAGATTATAAGTAGGATTGAACTCATAATCTCCCACTTACAAGAAAACTTATATGCCATTAGGCTACAAAGCCATTGGCAATGAAAATTTATTAATGATAATAATAGTGAAGGGTCATTGTGTGCCTCAACTAGAAAAAAAAGGTCATTAAGAATCGTAGACTTAACTATAAATCATTTATATCTCTCAACATTAAAGATTCTTTGCTCTGTCACCCTAATTTTAACCTGCATAACAGTTTCATTAGTGGGGCCTACAATTTGCTAAGTTGGCATGCTTACAAGTGGAGAGGGAGAGAGAGAGAGAGAGAGAGAGCTTGTTTGTTTGAGAAAGAGAAAGAGAGAGAGAGAGTGAAGAAGCAGAAAAAGAGCAAGAATCCAGCCTAATAAGTGTGACAACCTTGCTGATAATTGAAAACTTACACATATTGGGTGAACGTCCACACATAAGCCTTCAATCTTTAACCTAAAAATATGATCCCATCATGTCATTGAATTTGGGACAAGTTCCTGCCATTGTCATTTCATCCCCTAAAGCTACTGAGCTATTCCTGAAGACTCATGATAATTTTTTCACAATCCGATCCAACACAATAGGGTCAAATCCTTTATCCCAGATTTAGCTCTATTCATCCCATGAAAGTTCGAATACATGAGAGAACTTTCAATAGCCTAGAGTCTTTATCAAGAGCTTAAAAACAATAACAACAAGAAGCTTATCTTGGCATAAAACACTATCAATTAGTTAATAAGGTAAGATCTTGGTGATGGACAGCACATCACTCACAACAGCTTTTCATGACATGAGTATTAAGGAGTAGCTCCATGATCTTAGCAACAGCTAGGTCAATGAGGAGTAAGAGCAAGAGCCCGAATGATTTCCTCTCCATCATCCACCTCTATTTTCTATTCAAAAATAGAGCTAAACAAAGATTCAAAGCACCTACACCTCCCTGGTGGGCCCAACCATGAGAAATGATCAAAGTAAGGTCAGGGAGAAGTCTAAAAGCCTTACTGATATCTTTAGTAATGGAGAGATTGTTGAACTCAACTTGGGTGAGAAACATGAGGGATTTGAGGGCTTAAGAGTAGTTGGAGAAAGTGTAATTATTGTCAGGAATAGATTGAATCTAGACGGCAATAATGAGGTTGAGCCATTTGCGGGTGATGGAATGGGGGATAGAGGATGAGTAAAAGAAGGCCATTGAAGACAAGGAAGAAAATAGGACAAGCAGATAAGGATGATATATTGCTAAATAGGACATTTGTGAGCAAGGGGAGCAGGGTTACATACCACTCATATGCTATAGATTAGATGGAGCAATTTATTATATGGTAGTCTTTATCATGTAGTTTAAGAAAAACATAACCTTAAGTCCTATACTTTTTTCTAGTATTTGAGGACCCTGCACTTTTGTTTTTTATTGTTTAACAAAAGTGCAGGGACCTAAAACACTAGAAAGAGGTACAAGAATCAATAGTAAAACGTGAGTAAAATATAAAAATTTTAAATTATGTTTTTCCTATAGTTTATTATAGCCAAATTCAAAGTTACGTTCTCTTAGTTATGTTAATTCTTACTACTCTAGAATATAGCTTGTAGAACCTACAGTCTTTATATATTATCAAAGAAATACAAAGGCACTCTTGAAATGATGATCTAGATGCACGATGGTATAAATTGTACTCCTATTTGGATTGATTGCATGCATGAAGGTAGGTTAGGCAAATCTTGAGGTGGGTCGTCCTAAAAGGTGGAGGGCAGAGAGGCTATCAGAGTTGAAACCAAAGATGAGTTGGAGCTTGGAGAGATGGAAGAAGAGGAGGAGGTGGTAGTGGTAGTGGAGAACTCTCTTGTTTTCAATGAAAATGTGGTGGTGGAAGAGGAGGATGAGGTGGTGATGACAGGGTTGAAGGAGTGTAAGGAAGGGGAAGGGAGGCATTGGTGGGGCTAAGACGCTCTAAAGGCAGTGGTTGTGTGAGTAGTTGGACAACTGGATAGGCTCAAAGTTGACATCTTTTCCACGGAGACACACCATGACTGTGTGGACATTAGTGGACATTGCTAGACCATGGAAATTACATCTTCATCACTCTCGTCTTCAAAACGTTTGGAGATCTTGGTCCAGAGAGGGGAGGGAGGGAGGGAGAAGGTGGAAGGGAGAGAAGGATTAGGATTTTTTTTTTAATTATTAAAAAATATTAAAAAATTTGGTGGGACCACAATGCAATATTTTATAATAAGTAAATATTAAAAATTTAAATGTAGGACCAACTAATAGAAAAATTGAAAATTTGAGTTTAAGATCATTTGTATGCTTTCATAACTAGTCAAGGGACAAAATTGACCATTAACCATTTATTCAATGTGTTTGTATCTCTCATAATTCAAACTTGAGACCTCTCGGCTAACTTATTCAACTCCTATTCCTGCATAATTCTATAGTCCATTATCAACGAGTTATCAACTCAATTTACAACTAATCTTTAAAATTTATAATTTAATTTTAAAGTATTTCTAATTTTTTTGGTATAATTTACAACTTATTTTCTAAAATTTACGATCTAATTGTTTATTATTCACAACTTATTTTCTTATTTTTAAAATTTTACAATTGAACGATTTAATTGTTGCGGAATGGGTACGAGCATTTTCGATCATGATGGTTTTGACCGTTAATGATTTTGACACTTGGGCGTCATTTTACACATCCAGGGGACTTAATTCAATAATTTCCAAATATGTGATTAACTTGACTTTTTCACTATTGATCTTTATTCTTTTAATCTGAATTACAAAATTATATTAAACAAAACACATCTCATATAAAGTTACACATCTTTATTCTACTTAGTAATTAGTAATTATTTTAGACTATTAAACTTTTCTTTAATTTTTTATTGGGCATCCAAATATTTTGAATCATTTGTTTCTTTAACACCAATTTAGAGAAAATTTGAGGAAATAAAAGAAATGCTAAAATATAAAAGGGGAAATGATATTTAGGTCCAAAAAATCAATTAATAGAAGCTATTTCTTAAAAAAATTATTTAAAAATGAGTACACTTATCTATTTATATAGCCATAAAATATAATTACAAAAATAAGTTACAAGTATCTGTTTATATAGCTGTAAATGGGAAAGTCTTTGTTGCAACTCATTTATCGTGACCAATGACTAATGTTCGACTCGCAATTGTCTAAAATTTATAATTGCAGCTTTTTTTTTATCAATTTTTTAAAACCTAATTATCATTAAATTGATTTTTTGGAACCTAATTTTTCCTGACAAAATATTTTATATATTTGGGTATTGTTGCATCTAACTCATTCATTAAAAAGAAATTAAGAAATTCAATTAAAATATGTACTAATTAATTTTAAAATTAAGTAATAACAATTGACCTAAAGGATGTTTTGGGCCTCTTTTTGGCCTGACACTAAACTAGCCTGGCTTGTGAACGATCCTATAACTCAACAATTTTCTCACCACTCATTTATCTAAAAATTGATGCTTCTTCTTTGGAATTGCAATATGGTAAATTCTTTTAGGTGCGTTGAGTCTCATGTACTCATCAAGACAAGGACATGACTCTAAATTCATCAAAGAGCGCTTACAGATGTATTAGCAAAAGGAAAATAATTGCACTAATCTCTATTTTTATGTGGGAATGAACGCTATTACCTATTGATTATTGCCTATAGAACATTTGACTAGATGGATCACTATTGTTTTGTTGTATTATAATACAAAACAGAATATATAATTTAGAAGAGCAAATTAACTAAGCTGAAACAATGAAACAACTATACCAACATGCACGTACGCATGCACATTCAAGAAATAAAGATAATCCATAATTAGCCCAATAATAATGTGCATCCTCATTCAAAGATTTTAATTTGATTCATGGAAAGAGTACCCTCCAAGTAAATTAAATAAAACTAGTCATCAATAGTGATGGACTACAAGATGAAAACAAGAGATGGATTTGTAACGGAAATTTGTAACAGACTAAAAACCGTCACAAAGAAGTCATAGATCTGTCACAAAATCTGTCCTAATATTTGTGCTGGAATTTAGGGCACCAAATTCTGTGCCAAAATTTTAGGATTCATATATAGATCATCAATTAAACTCAACCATATGTATAATTGCAAATCATTCAAATTAATTAGTTTCACGCAGAAAAGTTCATTCTCATGAGCTACCAATACTCATTAACAAAATCATATATATATATATATATATATATAATTAAACAGCGAAACTCATATCTTAGTTTCGTGAAAATCAATGGGATCACTCTAATTCAATGCAAAACCGAATAATCCATGGTATTTTTGAGGGGACGAAAAAATAATTAGCCTAGATAAATATAACTGAAAATCAGGGCCCAAACACGTTTAATTTGTTGTCCACCAAAAATTTGAAAATAAAAAAAGCAATTATAAATCATAAAACAGCTCTCTCTCGTTAAAAGGAGGTTACAAATCTTACATCGTCGTGAGAAAGGTGGCCAATCACTGGTCTTGGTCATGCTTAAGCCTTGGAACCTATTAACAGACAGTTTAATTCATTTCACAGTTTGATGGACAAATCTCAGACAAATACTACTGAGAAATACAAGAATCTGAAACCTATATATATATATATATATATAATATACCTGTTCTAATCTCTGATTTTCTTCAATGAATTTTAATTCCTTGATTGGAATTAAGTTTAAGGACATGGAAAATGAGAAAGTATAATATAATTATGAAGATACAGACATTAATAAACAAGAGAATTAATGGCAAGAATTTGAAAAACCTGGTTTAGTCTCTGGTTCTCTTCCACGAGCCTGTCTTCCTTCATTGATATTAAAAATAAATACGTCAGTTAAAAAATGTTGGAGGCCCTCTAATGCCTTTGTAATGTTTCACCTTTCCAATTTCTTTTTGTTTGTTGTTTTTTTGGCTTTTCAAATCATTGACTTCTACATAAAATAAGAAAAATTGTGATATCTTAAAGTCCTAATAATTTGGGATTTTTCTTTTAATAATTGTCAAAAGGATACAAAACTTTACCATTGTGAGACTTGAAGATGTATTAGAATGTCTCTTATTTTATGTAGAAGATGATTCAAGACAAAAAAAGAAAAATGATATTAAAAAAGCTGAGTTTTACAAAGAATATTACAGGGAGACGTGTTAGAAATCCTAAGCCCCACATATTGTGCACTCAACAAATTGTTCCAAATGAAGAAGAAAATTGCCAGACACTAACAAACGCAAATAATGTAATATTCATCCATAAAGCCATTATATTGAAACACATTAGTGGGAGGTTCAAGTTATCTTAATGAAACCTACAAGTATATATACTGTATTTTAATATCAGCTGCAACGTAACCTACATGTTAATTATTACTATCTTTAATTTTTCTAGTAGTTATTATGGAGTTATAATTTATGCACGATTTGAGAATGATCACTTGCATGAACAGATAAGTATTCTTCTCATTTAAGACGCATATATATATATATATATATTATATGTAACACATATTTTTCATATTTATGGTCTTCAAATTTGAATATCTTATAAGCTTGCAAACACTTGAAAAACTAAAATTTCTTAAGAATTCATAATCCCAAAAATTAATGATCAATTGTATCTCATTACTATAACTAAGACGAATGTAGGAGACACTTTTGATAAATGAACATAACTCTAACCTGTTTCTTCAGAATACTGATCTCTTGCTCAAATGGTTCAGCCTGAGAGCATATTATTCATGCCATGCATATATAGGATTCAATGAATCATTGAATAACAAAAATATATGGAGAAAAGAAGAATATGTCATGTATATAGAAATATTATAAATTGATGGTGAAGTAAAAACACCAACACAATAAAGAATAAACATTTATATAATATATTAATATGCTAAATCAGACAGATAAAAATATTGATCTTATAAGGGAAAGGCAAACCTTGGCTTTTGAAACACGATGCAAGCATGCGCTAACTAGATCATCTAGCTTCTTTAGTTCTCTTAAGGTCAATCCTTGAAGTCCTTCTCCATTGAGGTGCCTGTTACATGTGGAAACCATGGATTTGAATCAACAATAAACATATTGTAACATATCATATATTATATGATAAAACTGGATGTGTAGATTGTGAGGCTCCCGTGCAGTATGAAGAAGTACACAATTCCTTGCTTATGAATAATGACTCAATATAACTTTTTATATCGTATTATATGTATATATGTATATATATAGATATTGATTATTTGTAACTCCATCATCATACCTCAATTCACGAGTCTTCTCTCCCAGTTCCTTGTTTAGCTTAAAATATTCAGCTTCTACCTGTCCATTTACCCAAAAAAGGAAAAAAAAAATCTGCTAGTTTTTCCTTGACACTTAAAAATTTTTATTTTCAATTCATATTAGATATAGTCTGTCGTGGAGTAATGATAATAATGATATATAATGAATATTGCATTTTTAATCTTTGCATCATAAATTAAATTCATTCACTCTTTTTAGTTGTGAATTAATCAAAAACAGCAAAAGATCATCTAAAGAGGTAGTGGGGATAAGTGTATTATACCTGCAGCTCAAGAGATGGCTGGATTGTCTTGCCAAGGTTTACATCTAAGTACAAGTTTCTCCTTTCAATCACATGCCCCATGCTTGAAACAACAAAGATGTTGAAAATTGGCTCATATTTTTAATATATTCTCATAACTTAGTTGACCAAAGTGGGTGTTGAGATAGATGTATGTGCATACACAAAAAAATAAAATCCGAAATGAGCACATCTGAGAAAAGTGGGCATAGCATCTATTGAAAGAAAAATGTTAGAAAATTGCTTGAAATAGTTTGGACATGTATAGAGAAGGCCATAGGAGACACAGGTGAGGAAAGTGGAATAGATAATCTTGAACCCTATAAAGAGGGGTAAAGGAAGACCAAACTAATAGAAGTTGTTGACTAAGACCTCTTAGTTAATATTTCTAAAAGCTTGTTGATGATAGAGTAAAATAACATTGTGCAATCCATGTAGCTAACCCCACCTAGTGTGATAAGGCTTCTTGTTATTATTGTTGTTGTAACTTAATTGACAGCATAAAATACTTGCACAAATCATTACTCGCTCTGCCTTTTGAATCATTAAGTCAAATATCAATGCATTCCATTAACTTTTTCAATTTGTTAGATAATTTGATATGCAAATATAAGAAATAAGAACCGAAATGCAAATGTGTTGAGATACAAGTGGACAGGCCCATAAAGTCACTGCCTTAAGTTTTAGATTAATATGTGATATCTAGCTCAATAACTTGATCTTCTTATTGTTACTAGGCAAGCTAATTTTTCCCTTTTCTAAATGATCTCCTAAATGATATCAGAGCCTAGTTTGATAGGGACTTGTGTGAAGACAATGATATATGGAAAGCTCAAATTAAAAAATTCTCTATTGCACAATATGCTTGTGTTCTAGATGGACTTTCAATGGGGGGAGATTGTTCAAACATAAATGAAGATAAATTTAGTATACTTTAAGATTTTGAATTAAAATGTGATGTGAAGTAGACTTATATGTATCCTCCTGTTACTACTAGACCTTGCTTGATTCTCCCTTTTTTAGGATGATCTCTAGCCCTAACAAGTTTGTTATTTTTTAATTAGCCAAATAAAATTCATCACCAAAGTCACATAAATGAAATTCATCACAAAAGTCAGTTAAATGAAATTTACTATAGAAGTTAAAAAACTTATTAACAACATTTTCCAATAAGTGCATAAAAGTTTCAAAATGTCAAATGTTTACCCAAACAAAATTCATTTTAAAGTCAATTTTTTAAAACCATCCCATCATTAGTAGCATCACTCAATATTGTCTTATGCCACAAATAGAGTTGTCATGTGCTTAAGTATGGATTCCCTTACACATGCTACCACTATCACTAGTTGTTTTCAAATCCTTAATAGCTTTTACCCTTGAAATCATCTTTTTTTAGGTTGCATTAAATCATCTTGAAATTTATTGATCCTTTGCTTCATCTTGACATAAAACTCATCTAAACCTTCCATGATTGAACATCTATTATAAGCAAATAAAATTACCTTTGAATTTTTGTTGGGTCTAGATTTTGACTCAAGGAATCTTGCTATCTATCCCATTGAATTTGGATTGACTTTCCAAAGTGTTGAATTGTCCAACCAATAGAGTACATTGACAATGAAAAATCAATGGAATTGTTGGTGGCCACAACTTCAAACACTAATTCAATCACTATAAGAATTTCAACTTAATAATTCCAAGTTTCAATGAATATAGGTATATGTATAAGGTTCCTTGTTTTGTTCATTGCTTAGAAAGTGGATGTTAAAGGTTGACTTACTAGAAGAGGGGATTGTTGGGGTATTAAATGTGAGTAGACTTGAGTTAGATTGAAGAAAACATATCCAAGTAGAAGGACCTATAAACTTATAACCTTAAAGTTTTGAGTTAAGATACAATATCAAACCTATTTATATGTAACTTATTGTTACTACTAGGCCTGGCTAGTTTCTTCCCCCCTCTAAGGATGCTCTATAAGCCCAACCAATGGTATCAAAGTCCTGATAATGAAATAGACTACATAAGTAAAGATAATAAAATTCTAGTTTATTAAAATTTCTTAATCCTTTTCCACAACTTTGAATAAAACTCATCTAAACCTTCTAAAGGCTAGAAGAGTTGCTCCATCCATCTAGTAGCCTCAAATTTTCTCTGCTCTTGACCTCAAGTTCAAAGGCTTTAAGTTGAACTAAAAACCACACATAGAGACAGCCACACTTATATGTTGCCTCCATCTTTTCTTCATGTGCTCAAGTAGCTGTAAACAAGTTCACTCTCTCTCCATTCTCGAATCTTCCACTCATTTGTCATCTCACTCTTGGCCTTTCATATAGCTTAACCCCTTTTAGTTTCACCATCTCTTTATTTAGTTTGATCAGTGATACTAGTTGACACGTGGGAATAAGATCAAAGTGGTGTGAACTTGAAGAAGGTGGTTAAAGTGATCGAAGTCAAAGTATTACCCATTCTCATGCCTCCTTATACTAATATACAATTTTAAGGAAGGAGGTGAAGAGGGGAACAAAACTCAATAAGTGTCTTCACACCATGAATCAACCCTTTCTCTACTGGTATCAAACTAATAATTTTTCAAGTTACGGTGAGTTTTACCCAGATTTCATTACTGGTTATCTACTACTTTACTTATTTCTATTAGTACTACATCATTCCTAACTTCTTTTATAAGTATTAGATTCTAGGTAACCTAATATTTCTATAAGCATCCCTTGTTTTGTTCCTCACCTAACAAGTAAATGTTAAAGGTTAACTTGCTAGAAAAGATTTTGGGTTGTTAAATGCAGGTAGACTTAAGTTGGATTGAAGAAGAGGTATCCAAGTATATGGACATATAAACTCATAACCTTAAGGTTTTAATTTAATATATGGTATCAAGGCCATTTATATACATCTTCTTGTTGATGCTAGGCTTAAGTAGTTTCTTCTACTTTTCAAGATGCTCAATAAGCCTAACAAGTATTATCAAACTCTTAATATGTGGACTACAAGAGTGAAGATGGGGAAATTCTTGTTTGTTGAAATTTACTAATCCTTTTCTACAACTTAACAAAAATAAAAATCATCTAAATCCTCTGAGACTACATTAATCACTCCCTCATGCCAACTGTCTTAGATTTAATGTACTCTTGACCTTGAGTTCAAAGGCTCTAATTTGGACTAAAAACCCCACACAACCACAACCATGCTCATCTATCACCTATGTTTTCTCTTCTCATGCTCAAGTTGCTCCCAAGAGTTCACTTCCTCTCTATTTTCTTTAAATCTTTCACTCATTTGTCAACTTATTCTTAGCTTCTCACACAACGTGATCCCTTTTAGTTTCATTGCCTCTTCATTCGATTCGATTGGTGAGTGAATACATGTAAATGAGATCAAAATAGTGTGAAACTCTAGAATGAAGTTAAAGTGGGGAAGGCTGGCTGAAGTATGAGCCATTCTCATGTCTCCTTATACTAATGTACAATCTTAAGTAAGGAAGTGAAAAGGGGGCATGAAAACTCAATAAGCATGTTTACTTCATAGATAAACCTTCTCTCTATTGGTTTCAACCTAATTATTTCTTAATTTGTAGCGACTTTTGTCTAGATTTCTTTACTAGGTATCTATTACTTCACCTATTTCTATTATACTACATCATTCCTAACTTCTTCTATGAGTATTTCTTTCAAGGTAACCCTATGTTTCTTTGAGTATCCCTTGTTCTATTCCTTACATAATGTGGATGTCAAAAGTTGACTTATCAAAGGAGGATATTGTTGGGTTGTTACATGTGGGAAAACTTGAGTTGGATTGAAGAAGAGGTATCCAATTAGGACCTATGAAACTTATAACCTTATGGTTGAGTTAAGATGTAGTATCAAACGGATTTCTATATATCTTCTAGTGGCTGCTAAGCCTAGGCATTTTCTTCCCCCTTTTCAAGATGATCTATAATTTAAAAAAGTAGTATCAAGGTCTTGATCACGATATAGAACACATAAATGAAGACAGTAAAAGCCTAGTTTCGTGAAATTTCTTGATCCTTTCCCAAAATGTTGCATAAAACTCATCTAAATCTCTAAGACTACATGAGTCACTCCTTCATGCTAGTAGCCTCGTATTTGCATTGCTTTTGACCTCGAGCTTAAAGGCCCTAAGTTAAACTAAAAACCTCATACAAGCACAAACACACTTCTCTATTGCCTTCATCTTTTCTTCTCGTGCTTAGGTCACTGCCAATGAGTTCACTTTCTCCCCATTTTCAAAACTTCACTCATCTATCATCGTCAGCCTCTCACACAAATCGATCCCTTTTAGTTTCACTCACTCACCATTAAATCCAATTAGTGATGCTAGTTAACAAATAGGAATGAGATCAAAGCAGGATGAACTTGGAGAAGATACTTAAAGTGGTAGAAGCTGAAGTATTACTCATTCTCACATCTCCTTATCCTAATAATCAATATTAAGGAAGGAGTCAAAGTGAGGCATGAAAACTTAACAAGTGTCTTCACTCCATTATTAACCTTCTCTTTGCTGGTTTCAAACCCTAAATTTCTTAACTTATGGAGGCTTATACCCAAATTTCATTACTAAGTATCTACTGCTTCACCTACTTTTGTTGATACTGCATCATTGCTAACTTCTTCTCTGAGTATTGCTTTCCAAGTAACCCTGTGTTTCCATATACAATCAGCTAATATTGTTGGCTTTTATTTTGTGCTTAATTTTTTGTGTATTGTGCATTTTTCTTGATCCATGACAATGGATATAAGATGGTTCTAGTTGTTTTTTTTATTATTTTGCTGGGTTTGAATTTATAAACTAAAATTTTGATGGATTTTGATTCTATTGACCAAAATTGGCTCATCAATTTTCTTTGTTAGATTGCATACAGCTTCTAATATTATCATTATTCTTGAAGCTAATAATTAATTATGAATTATGAGAATATAAAGGTTGAGTTAAAAGGTTATTTTGTGCTTCAAATTTGTGAACTTTGTAATTCTGTGGTGGAATTCTGATTTAGTATTTTTGTTAATCTTATTTAAGAAATGTTAATGATTAAATTTTGTGAACTTCAAATTAGTATTTTTGCATTAAATTAAATCATTTTAGTCCCCGGACAATTTTATTTAATTCTTGGTGATTTCTTTGAGACATTAACAATAATATGGCCAACAGGCCTCTACTTTTCATAATAAATGAAAAATGAATGAATGAATAAAATGGGACCTCTTGTGGGCTGCGCTAGGTTTTCCTATTCATATTTCTAGTGGGATGACTCATGCCAAACCCATCAAGGTGCAGCCTTTCACGACTCGGCTTGCGTATTTCCAACACTATTTGTCCCTCACCGAACAAGTTATGTCAAATGTTGACTTACTTGAGGAGAGAATGTTGGGATGTTAAATGTGAGTAGATTTGAGCTAAATTAAAGAAGAGATATGCATGTCAAAGAAGAGATATACATAATCATAAAGTTTTAAGTTAAAATGTGATATCAAACTTATACACATCTTCTTGTTATTGCTAGGCCTAGCTAGTTTCTTTCCTCCTTTTTAGGATGCTCTCTAAGCTCAATAAGTGATATCAAAGTATTGTTTACATTATAGAATAGTTGTGTAGAGACTGTGAAAGCCTAGATTAAAAGAAAATTACATTGCACATCAAGCCACACACAATTTGATGAGGTTACATCTTTAAAATATGGCAAATAGGAGGAGCATGCTTATGTGGTCCATGGTAGACTCACACTTGTAAGGGAAAATTGTTGGGATGTAAAATGTGAACAGATTTAAGTTGATGAGAAGCCATTTTGGATTAGGATATGGGTGTTGAAACCACTTTACGCATCCTCTTGTTACTACTGAGCCCACCCATTTTTTTTTTAACTTTTTGAGGATATTCCCCAAGCCCAACAAATTCACGTGGAGCTAGCAAGCTGGGCAGTAGATAGTAACTAAGGGTGGAAGCCACTCATGATGTAAGAGAAAAAACATAAAAGAAAAAGGGAACACAGTTAAAAACTGAATTTTGGCTCTCTCTCTCTCTCTCTCTCTCTCTATCTCTCACACGCGCACACACAATGGTTATGAACTGTATTTACCAATTATTTTAAATAGTAAGAGATCCATAATTTCTCCAACATGTGTATGGTCTTAGACCTTAATCATCTTTGTCATAAATAATTATGGCAAATATCTGTTATTGTTCTAATTTCCTCGCTTCACGAAAGACATTTATGAAAGTCTGCGCTTTAGATGAAGTTCTATTAGTCTATTGCAATGTGCCAATGATGGTAGAGAAATTTTACTATGAATCTTTAAATGAAGTTTCTTTAAGTCCTACCCAAAGTGAGGCTATGCATAAAGCAGTAAGAAAAAAAAATTCACACGTTCTTACTATATCATCCCCCATAGCTTAATACAAGAGATGACATGATGGGGAGTAATTAAAGAGCATAAACATTTTCTTATGTTTTGCTCACCTAGTTTATGGTGAAACTTAGCTTGTACCACCCACTACATAACAATCCTCTACATCTTTTTTATATGTTAAAGGTATACCTTACTTCTAGTACTAAAGATGAGTATCATGTTCATGGACTTGCAGACATGGCTTCTATAAGATAATCTTGCTTTTGTTATTCCTTGTTGATTTAGAAATCTCTCAAAGACTCTTAATGTTGACATCATAGTCATTACGATTGATTGTCACTTTGTTTGAGGAAATGGGGGCTCTCCATCTAAATCCTATTACTTTAAGATAATCAGCTGACATATTCACCAAGTCACATAATCAGAGATAGAATTGCATAGAGCCATAGGGCAGGAGCAGGTGCTCCCTCTGAATTTCATTAAAGTACATGTATCTGTGCATTATGTCTCTTATTATGTCCCCATTAATCTTCTTCATTTGAACTCACTGGAAATTAAAGAGCAATCCAAATCACAGCAATTTTTTTGTCAAAATGAAAACTATGCCACCACTAGCCTTAGGTCCTTTATCCGCCACTGCAAAGAATCCAGGTTGATTTTATACCTTTGCGGACAAATTCAAGCTAGTCTCTATTCTACCATCTTAAGTTGGTGAAAGAGTATCAATGTAAGCAAATGCAATTTGATAACGATTTAGGTTAACACAATCAATTTTTTTGGTGAATATTGAAATTATTTGTTGATTGTATTTCTATTTTGCATTCGTTAGCATTTTCGATTATTGTTGTCTGTATAAACTGATCACATATACAACATAAATGAGCACTGAACAATCTACTCCAACTTTGCCTTTTTCCTATTCTCTGTGCCTTTCTTTTATTTTCTTTCTCTAAACGTTATCTAATCTTACAGTACTTATATAAGGTTTGTACTTGTTTTAACTGTTTATTTAATATTAACAATTTAATTTTTATTTTGATATTTTTCCTTTGAAAGAAACATAATACAACATAAATACTATTTTCCAAAAACGTTAAAAATAATTTCAAATAAAAATTATAATTTCTGAACCATCTATATGTTATAGACAAATTAAATCTCTAGAGATGTGGAGAGGATAAGCAGTACACCATGCATTTTGCACTTCTTAACTTCATCAGTAACTCCTGAATGATGATCTTTACCTCAAAACCCATTTAGTACTAAACAATTCTTAGGGAACATTTCATACACACACACACACACACAGAAAACCAATAACGTCTTTAAATTATCAAAAACCTAAGCAGTTTTATGGAATCTATTGTTCCTACACAGATAGCATGCTTTTGTTTAACCAATATATATGTTTTCAGAATCATGAATATTCTTGAAAGTATATATGATTCACATATATAAACGTCGAACAATTTACATGGTCTTCCAAGACTAAGAATGCAAGTTAAGCTAATATTTCAATGCTCGAATTAACTATATCCAGTTCATAATTTTAGCAGTAAAACCTCAGAACATTGTAACAATGTTGAAGATGTTGGCAAAACAAGCAATATTAACAATGTAATTATTCATAATATCTCATGATTAGTTCTTAGTTGGTAATTACATGGTAATTATCACCAAAACATATACATGGTAATTAAGTATCATAATTGAACAGATCAGATACATAAATTCTGAACCAGTACTTTAAAAAAATGCAGGTTTTAAGTTAAACTATTGTGCGTAGTTTAGAGCCATTTCCTGTGAAATCTCACTCTATCAAAACTATAAAGGAGATTATACACGCATTTAGAAAAGCATGCATGAATGAGATGAACAAAGCATAGATCAGCTGGTTTTCTTTTCCTCTAAAAAAATATATAAAAAAAAAATCTCAGACGTGATTGGAATATTTAGATTATACAGATTTCTAGTAAAAGAAATAAGTTAGAGAGAGGAAAGATACCTTGTACTAGCATAATCAAAGAGCTTGCCAGAAGCAGAAAACACAAAGAGTGCAATCTCAGCATCACAGAGAGTTGAGAGCTCTGTAGCCTTCTTGAATAGACCTTTCCTTCTCTTTGAGAATGCCACTTGCCTCGCTGATACGTTCTGGATCTTTTTTATCGCTATCTTCCTTCTCGTCATTTTAATTCTCAACTAAACAATTTTAAATCAAAAAGTAGTTAGAGAAATCTATAGCCCAAAAAAAAAATTCTGCATATTCTGTGATGAATAAGTATCAAATGATGAAGAAAAGTGTATGCGTTGGATGAACACAGTACCGAGCCATATGGGTATTAAAGATAAGCATTGAAGAACAATGGAACCAGAAAATAAATATGAAATAAGCCGACAGAAAAGATGAGGTTTGTTGAGAAGAAGTCAGAAGCAGAAGAGTTCTTACCAGCAAGAATCTGAAAAGAGAAGTAAAATAAATAAATAATAATAGCAGAAGAAAGGAAAGATTGTGGGAAGTTTTGGAGAGTAAGTAAAAAATAAAAAAATAAAGCTAAACTTGGTAAAATTGAGGAAACCTGCCCTGGAGTCGCTTTTGTTTGATTTGGATCTCTTCTTTGTTCTTTCCTTATCTTCACCTTTTTGTCTTCATTTTCTTCAGTACATTATTTCCAGCTTTGCATCCACGACGTCGTCTTTTAGATGGCCATCAAATCTAAGAAAAATCAACCCCCCAAGTGAACGAATAATTCATTTTTGGAGATAGTTTGGATTTTTACATCAATTAGGGGTCCTTTGATTTTGGGATGATAAAATTTTTAGCTACTTAAATTGAAAAAAAATGATAATTAGGGACCCTACAAAAACATTTATTACAATTGTAAACCTTAAATTATTGAAATCTCAATTATAAATCATTGTCTTTATTTGCAATTAAAAAAAAAAAGAGAATAACTAGTTGAGAAATCAACAAAATATACTTAAAATTATTTGTAATGTTAATAAAAAATTTTCAAGAGTCAACCGTGACTTTTGATTTTTTGCTATTGATATAGAGAAAAATTACTTAAAAAATCAATAAAATACAGAAATTATTTGTAATAATGTTAATTGAAAATGTATAAGAGTTAATTGTGAATTGCAAATCAATCCCTTGTGATTTTTTTGCTATTAATATATAGATAAATCACTTTGAAAATCTACAAAAAAAAAAACAGTTAGGATTATTGGCAACGTTAGATGAAAATTTATGAGATTCGGTTATGAAACACAAATCAATCACCTGTGATTTTTTGTTGTCAATATATAGATAAATTGCTTGAGAAATCAACAAAAGATACTTAAAAATCTTTGTATCATTAATTGAAAATTTACAAAAGTTAGTAATGAATTTCAAGCCATCAACAAAAGATACTTAATTTATTACAAGTAAGGATCAAGATCTGTAGTTGAGATTTTAATAATTCAAGGTATGTAATTGTAATTAATGTTCTTATGAGGTCTCTAATTATCATTTTCCCTCTTAAATTTGTCTTTGATTTTGTCCCATAAAATTAATTTCGTCGACTTGGTCTTTTTATGTTTTCTTAAGAGAAGATTTCACTATAGGCCTCCAGATCAAAGATAATAAAAAAGAGAGCTTTTGAATTTTCAAAACTACACTTCAAGTCTAGGATACTGAATTAAAATTAAAATTCTCTAAAAAATGATAAGATTGTCTCTATTAAAATTTTCTAGCACATCTTGTTCATGTCCTTATTGTATATTGTTCAACACCCTTTAAACTATGATTCATTATCTTACTTTACTTGTTCATTATAACATTTTTGTTTGAATTAATTTCAAATGTTGTTTTCATGTTAGCTCAACTTATTCATGTCTTTACTGTATATGATTTACTACCCTTCAGATTGTTGTTCATTGTTTTAATTTACTTGTTTATTACAACACTTTCTCTTGAATTAATTTCAAGCATGACTTGTTTGTATGCCTACTACTGTATCAGAGGTCCTCTTTTTATTATCTCTAGTCTAGGTATCTTTAGTGAAATTTTTTTTTCTTAAATTATCATATTGGTCCTTTATGTTTTAATATACAAATTGATTCTCAAATTAATCTAATAATATAAAAAATATATTGATGACATAGGCATGCATATGTAATTAAATGAGAGTAAATTAGTCCTCAAATAAGTTTAATTTTATCAAAATAGACTTTTACACTTTAAATTTTAAAATTTATAAATATGTTTTTTAAATAATTGTACTTCTTTTCATTAATGTCATAGTTGCTATTAATATTTTATTATCTATGTTAGTATATTTTAAAAGTATTACTTTCTCTTTAAACAATAAATACTAAATCGATAATTAAGGTAAATTTAAGATATCAACTTGAAAAAAAAAAATTTGAGGACCAAATCAATCTAAACAAACTTGAATGATGAAAACTTCTATTATCTTTCTTAATTTCGCCGGATCAAACATTGTATGTTTAATTTTTTTAATATATATAAATATATTAAATATGAGAAATAGTTTTAAAATAACAAAAATGCAATGATACTTTAACTTCACACCAGGTTTTATTTAAGTCCTTTAATTTTTTTCAGTCCTTTAAATCTAATATTGTTAATTTCTTTAACAAAAAAATACCAACATTAAACTTTTAAATGTTAACAAAAAATTTTCAAATATTAACATGTGAAGTTTAATTTCTTAAAATAACAATAATTAACATAAAAAAGTATTATTATAGATTAACATACTAATAATGTTTGGATTAGAAAACTGGAAAGATAATTTATACAATCAAAAGATCAAATTAAAATCTTATATAAAGATAAAAGAACTAAATTTTGCCTTTAGAAATTCATTATAGCTCCATCTGGCATTTAATAGTAATCTCTACTTCATATAGATTTTGAATTGTAGCAAGAGATGGGCAAGCACTGAATGAAAATATTCCACTATTTTCCCCCCTTAAGTTAGTAATGTATAGTCCATTGAACATTTCTTTAATCAAACATTAAATGTTAATGTCTCTTTTTAATAAGGATTTGAACATTAGTTTGTCATATTTTAAAAAACCTAACTTATTATGCTAAATCCAACCTGGTTGATTGACATTGAACTTTTTCTTTAAATCTTTTATTTTGATATAATATGGGGGCCAACCTTTTTGTCTCATTTTACTTTGATTTTTATCTATAAAATTAACTCTCTGTTTTTTTTTTCTACCATTGCATGTAAGTTCAAATTGTTTCTTGATTTTTGTTCTGGGTTAAAGCAATTAAGAATTTCTCTCAAAAAAAAAATACACCAAGTTAAAGAAACCATCTTCCAACCAAATTTCAGATAAACATAGGGATTAAACATTCTGTACATCAGAAACAAATATTTTTTTGAGTTTAATTTGAAAAAGCTTCTTAACAATATAATACTAGTCTAAATTAAGCCTAAGTTTTCATATTACTACGACGTTAATTTTTTCGTGAATTTCATTTGAGAATATATATGTAGGTTTAGTTTAGATTAGTATTTGAAACATGAGAATTGATTAATTATGCAACACATTCAAAAAAAAAAAAGCTACAATTTATTCATGTATATTGCTCCCACAATTTTTTGGGTCCCCCTCTGGATTGATGTAGCTTTTATAACTTACATACGCAGAAGAACTTGCTAAATTTTTTATATTATATAGATAGAATTTATATTATATTTTTGATGTATCGATTTTATAAATATATTGATTTAAAAAAAGAGGAAACTTGTGTGAAATATGATGTTAATGTATATGAATTTTGAAGTTGATCGAATATCAAAATCGTGATGGCTACATGTTTGTTCAAATTGGGGAAGCAGACAGAGGCACGTATAGTCAGCCACCATCATTTTCCTTTTATGGGCAAACAGTTCAGTTAAAAAAGAAAAAATGGGGCGCTTTGGAATTGATTACAGAAAAGAGACGGAAGAAAAAGGATTAAAAGATAAAAATATCCATTAATTTTTTTCATAAACACTCAATATTATTAAATGAATAGGGATACAAAAATACTCATAAATTTATTTTAACAGGTGCAATTTTTCTTGGACTGTGAAAATTGGCAACGTACCTTAATCAGATATAAAAAAATAATATAAATATTCTTTATTTCTGATTATCATTAAATTTCATTCAAAAATGAGAAGAAAGTCTACTTGGTAGGTGTGGTGCGCACTGTTTCAACAATCTTATTAACTTCATCTTTATTACCTAGAATAATATTTAACAAATTGTATTATTCTTATATAATAATCAAAGTTTGAAGTAAATTATGTTGATAAAGTTATAAAAAAAAATTATAAGAACTTAACACTAACTCAAGTTTGACCTGTTTTTACAAAGTTTATAAGGACAGATTTTAAAAATACTTATATACTAAAGTACTCTATTTTTTCAAGCCTAACTCTTAAAATATATACAGGGTCTAAGAGTAATCCGCCCAACCTGGCCCTTATTGACGTATCTCACAAATCAATCTTTTATATGCAATAGTATTTGAGCATATAGAAATATATAATAATAGGGAAAATTGTCATAAAATTCCTCATTGATGGGGAAATTGTTTTGAAGAACAAAAACTCATTTAATGACCAAATACACACCAAGCCTATGTGACCTTACACCCAAGCTTATCACCTTACACTATAAGCGTATGACCTTACATCCCAAGTCGATTACCTGACATCCCAAGCCTATATTACTTTGCATCCTAAGCCTATGACCTTGTATACTAAGTCTATCACCTTCCACCTAAAGTCTTATTATCTTACACGCCAAGCTTATCACCTTACACTTTAAGTTTATATTTCCTTACATACCAAGCCTATAATCCTGTGCCTTAAGCTTTATTACCTTGCATATCAAGCCTATCACTTTACACTCTAAATTTATGACCTTGTACACTAAGCCTATCACATTGCACCCCCAAATTGATGACGTTACATACCAAGTTGATGACTTTGTATCCCAAGCTTTATCACCTTACACGTCAAGTCTATATCACCTTGTATCCTAAGCCTAGTACTTTACACATCAAGATTATAACCTTGTATCATAATTTTATCACTTTGCACTCCAAGTCTATCACCTTACATTTCAAGCTGATTACCTTACATTCCAACCATATAACCTTGCATACAAAA